TCTTGCCTCCTTGCACTTTCCTTGATCTTTTAAGGTCCAATCTTGATCCCTTGGATGATCTTTGACATGTTTAGCCCAGAAAAGTCCTAATCTAAACAAATTACAAATAAATATGAAAATAAAGTATTACACCAAAAGTGTGTAATTTCCTCAACTAGAACTAATAAAAACTAGTTAAAAATACAAACATACAATCGGAAATTACATGAATATCACCGGTCTTCAAATCTTCGGGGAGCTTGGCTCCAATCTTCACGACTCTCTCCGGCTTGGCCAGATCGAGCGCGAAGTCTTCTACCTCCTCGGCTTGTTCAGCCCTCGACCTCCTTTCCTCCGCTTCCACAGTTCTGGTGATGGTGTCAACGCGGAACTCCGTCTTGCTAACCTTCTTTGTAACTTGAAGGTAGCAAGCGCGGGCAAGCTTTTGGTTCCCCCTTGAGTAACCGATTCCCCCCTCGGTCGGGAACTTGAGGCAGAGGTGCCTCATGGAGATGACGGCTTTGAGGTCCTCGAGGGCTGGCCGGCCGATATGATGTTGTGGGCGCAGTCGATGTTGACGACGACGAACTCCACTTCGAGCTTGGCTCTATGGAGGCTGTCGCCGAAGATTACCGGGAGGGTTATGACCCCCTCGGAATCAATGGTGTCACAAGTGAAGCCGGCAAGAGGGGTCTTGATGGGCCGAAGGGACCCCCTCTCCAGATGCAGCTCTCTGAAGGTGCTGAGGTACATTACATTGACGGAGCTGCTCGTGTCAATGTAAGTTCTGTGAATAATGGTGTCATTTATTTCCGTCCGGATGACGAGGGCATCCCTATGTGGGGAGGATACTGGGGGGAGATCAGCGTTAGTGAAGATAATGGGTTCCTCCCTCAGCCGCTTTACTGGGGGCATATTTGTGACTTCCCCCACGTAAAGTGATTGAGCCCACTTCTTTCGTTGACTCGTAGAATCACCCCCGGTATTTCCCCCCGTGATCATGAGGATGTGGCGTTTCTTTTCTTGGTACCGGGGGTACTCCTCCTCCTCTTCCTCCAGATTTCCAATCTCCCTCTTCTTGCTGAGGGGGATGGTGTTGGAGTTGACCCACGCATTTGCTCTAGTAGTTTGCCCTCGGGTTGGCCCTTGGTGAGGGGGGCCCTGTTGCTGAGGGCCCTGGATAAACTGGGACAGATGGCCCGCTTGTATCAATCTTTCGATGGCCGTCTTCAGCTGATGGCAATCATCGGTCTTGTGCCCCTGGTGTCGATGGAAACGACAGTAGGGGTAGTTTGGATTGATGGCAAATACCTCCGAGGGCGCGCATGAATCTCGCTCCACGAGGCCCCTTTCCTCAGCAAAATCAAGAATAACGCTAACGGGATGCGTCAAATGTGTCCGAGGGTGTTCCAGGAGGACAGACTGTGCCCATGCCCTCGGGTTCCCCTTGTAGCCTCCCCCGGGCTTGGCTTGGCCATGCCGGGGTCGATCACCGGAGGGGGCAGAATCCTTGGGATGATTACGGGGAGCCCCCGGCCCCCGGTTGCCTTTGTCGTCCGGCCGAGGGCGTTGCTGATCTGGGATGTGGTGGCATTTCTCCACCTCCTCGGCTTCGGCGTACCGGTCCCCCCGCTGTAGGGCCCTTATATAATCGCGGGGGGGGGGGGGGGGGTTCGACAATGAGGCTCCTCGAGAAGTTCCCGGGGCGGAGTACCGTTTGGAGGAGGGCCAGGAGGGTCCCGTCGTCGGTGCCATCAACTTTATCAGTCTCCGTTCTCCAGCGCTCCAGGAAGTCCCGAAGGGTCTCCTCCTTCCTCTGTCTCACCGTTAGCAAGTGGGAGAAGTGTTTTCTTATGCGGTGCCTTCCCGCAAATTGCGTCAAGAATCGCTGGGCGAGTTCTTGCCATGATTCAATGCAGCCCTCGGGCAATCGATTGAACCATTCGTAAGTTGGCCCCTCTAAGGTGGAGAGGAACCAGCGGCACAAATATTCATCCGATGCCCCCACCATCATCATGTTGTTTTGATACCTACTGTAGTGCTCTTGGGGGTCAGTCTTCCCGTCGTAGGGCTTGATGAGCTGCCCTCGATATTTTTCCGGGATCTGGGCCGCCAATACCCTTGGGGTAAATGGCGTCCGGGTCCGGAGCTGTATGGTGGGTTCCCCAGAGCCCTCGGCTATCTTCTTCTGCATTTCTTCCATCTTGGCCATCATCGCCTCATACTTGAGGTCTGTATGAGGGGTAGAAGTGGTGGTGTGGGCCTTGGTGGCCTCCATCTCGTCAAGCCGACGCTGGAGGGCTGCAATGATTTCGTCTTGGGGGTCCTTCGGGAGGGCCTCCGCCCCCTGCGAATGGACCCGGGCCGAGTGGGCCTGGTTGATTTGGTGGCGTGCGTCATCGACATGGAGAGGTGCCTTGCCTTTGTCCTGAGCGGGACGCCTTTCAATTGCCCTGGAGACAGACCCGCCACTTTCCTGAGGCCTCTGGAACGCCTTCCCCCCGAGGCGGTCTTGGACCCCTCGACGGTCTTGCGCCCCTCTGAGTCTCTCAAGGGCGGAAGTCCGGAGTTGTTCCTTGTTCACGTTGTGGCGGTCCCGGGACTGGACTTCCTGGGAGGCCGTATCTTGGGCCACGACCCCCTCGGAGTTCCCCATCCGGAGGACCGGGTTACCGAGGGGTCGTGGATGAGGGGGAGGCATAATATTCTCCCCGACCTGTGGTTGGTGGGGAACCAAAGTGCCGAAGGCACCCGGGTTCTGGGTCAGCGTCTGGATGAAGGCGGAGAGAGCCGATTGTACGTCGATCGTGATGACCGGAGGGCTAACTTGATTTTCGCTCCGGTCCTTCTTCTTGGCCTCGATGCCGAGGTGGGCATCGGGTGCATTTTGTTGAATCTGCTGGCGTAGGTCGACAGCTGTCTGGTCCAACCCGACGATGACGCCGCCCCCGGGAGCCCTGTTAGAGGCTTCGGGGACGTCGACCTCGCCGAGGGCCAGGTTCTTGTCCTCTACATTCTTGGAGTTGGCACGAGTTGTTCTCACCATTTTAGCTGGGTGTTTTGTGTTTGGTCGAGGGGGGGGGGGTTCTTACTTGATTGTTCGACCTCTCAATGAAAGCACATCTGATGGATAGTGTACCCGGGGGTAGCTTATCTGAGGGGTTATTACGGGGAATAACTAAAGAGAAGTCAGAGCAAGTAAGTAGAGAGAGAAAGTATATTAGAAAGTATGCAGCGTGTGTATTGTGACTTGGTTACAAATGGGGAAATGGGGTGCTATTTATAGTAGCAATAAATGCCGGACAGGGACACGTGTCAAGCATCCATTGGTCGAGGGGTCACCTCAACTGGTTGGCGCTGGCAAACGCATGTGGCCGCATTTAATGCGGCTGTTGGATGGGACGTTGCACTGGGTACGGTGATCTGTACGCATGTGGAGCGGATATTATGTCGGAAAAGGCGCCATCGGCTGTAGATGACTAGCCGAGGGCTCTGAGTACTAGGGACTCCCTTAGTGTCGAGGGCTCCAGTTGCCGAGGGCTACTGATTTTCGCCGTTCTTCCCAGTAACTTTGTTTTCCTGTTTTGGCCCTTCTGTGAGGTTCAGAGCCCTCGGCCAGGGGGCCGATGGCACCCCTGGTGCGCATTGTGGGCTGCTTGGTACCTTGGGCGCCGTGATTTGGGCCTGTTGTGCTTCCTGGGCCTATTGTGCCTTTGTTGGAGTAGTAAGAGTCTGTGGACCGGGGGTTCCCGGGCCATATACTCCATCAGGAGTCCCTCACTCCTTTTTCCGAAAGGTACTTGACGGAAAAGGAGTAATTGTGTTTGTCCTCTGTCGTTGTTCCGTTGTAGTTTGTAGAGTTGTGGGTAGTTTGCTGTTTTGTTTATTCTGCCGAGGGCAGTCCCTCAGTTACCCACATGTCGGGACTTGAGGGGGCGTGTTTGTGATTTTTGTGATTTTCCCGAGGGGGTCCTCCAGTCCCCCACTCATTGAGGCACTTGCAAAGTGGTGAAAAGGAGTAGAGTAACCATGTTGCTGTTTTGGGTCGAAGGCTGACGCTTTTCGTTTAATTTTGGGGGGATGCCTCGTTAAAAACCTCATTAGGAAAAACCCTGTGGGAAAAAAAAATCCTAATGAGGGAAAAAGAGTGCACCGAATTCCCCCAATGATGAATCGAAAACGTGAAGCCCTGGTTCGAAATGGAGTACAATGCTGATGCCGAAAGCTGTCGTTGTTCTGAGGGCGCATGTGTTGATTTAGTATGTAACTCGCGCATAAAAGTATGTAACTCGTGTATAACAAGATGTAACTCACACATACCAAGATGTAACTCACACATAACAAGATATAACTCACACATAATTATATGTAACTCGCGCATAAAAGTATGTAACCCGTGTATAACAAGATGTAACTCACACATAACAAAATGTAACTCACATATAATAACTTGTAACTGGAGTATAAGATGATGTAATTTCGTATATTATCAAATGTAACTCCAAGCTAGAAGCAAAATAAACAAATTCAATATCTTAAAAACCTCTAAAAAAATATAAAAGTGATAAAAAAATATATCATAGAAAAAGTGTATACATATAAAAATATATTACAAAAAAATGTATGAATGTAAAAAATTAAAATTACATAGTCAATATTGGTGTCATTTGAAAGATCATGAAAAATAAAAAATTTGATATAAATTTTATAAAAATTGAATCAAAAATAAAAAAATTATTATCAATTTTAAGAGAAGGAAAAATAAAAAATAAGAAAGGGTGCATGGTGTCCGAGTATGTTTTTCCACTAACAGGGTCTAGAACCATCTTCTCCTTTTAACCTGGCTCTTCCAATTTTAACCCACGTAATCCATTTTGACAGAGTCTATCTCGACACATGTCTCCCACGTGGCAATCCATCGTAATCCTGACCGCTGTTAGTTTGTCGTCGTAGTCGTAAATAAATGGGTATATACTTTGTATAAACGAAGAAAAAGCATCCTCGAGCGAGCACGACCGGAAGGAATAACCGCACACTGCGGTTTTTTTTTACGCCGTAGCGTTATTTAGGACTGAAGAAAAGTAAGTAATGTAACCAAAAAAGGGAGGGAGAAGGATGAGCGCGGTGGTCACATCTCGAAAAGTGGTGGAAGAAACCGTCCAAGTGGTCGTCACTCCGGCCACCACCTGCGGTGGAGAAGCAGTGTCCGAGAACCAACTGCAGCCCGGTGATCCATCCAAAGAGAAGGTGCCCGAGAACCAACCACCGCCTAGTGATGAATTACACAGAGAAAATGAACAAGCGGAGGCAGTGTCAACTCCTCCGGCGGCCGAAGAAGACCCGCCCGCAACCAAGAGAACCATCTCCGTTGAAGAAAAGAACGAAGACCCGCCCGCAACCAAGAGAACCATCTCCATTGAAGACAAGAACGACGACCCGCCACCGGAGAAGCCGCCACAAAGAAGGAAGAGGAAGCGGGCGGTGGTGGGAGCGGGAGCGGGAGAAGGGTATAAAAGGTACGTGCACAAGGTGTTGAAACAAGTGCACCCGGACTTGGGGATATCTTCCAAAGGTATGACGGTGGTGAACAATCTGATAGGGGACATGTTCGAGAGGATAGCGGGGGAGGCGGCGACTCTGACGAAGTACGTCTCCCGGAGGACGCTGTCGACGAGGGAGATTCAGGACGCCGTAAAGTTGGTGTTGCCGGGAGAGCTTGGGAAGCATGCCATTTCGGAGGGAATGAAGGCGGTCACTAATTATATTGGCACTCTAGATGGAGACGACCACTCTAAATTGTCTTCTTCCAAACCCCAATAAGTAATTGAAATTAGTAAGTACGTAGTAGTTAATTACATAGTTAATGACGCAAGTACTTCAATTCCATGCTGTATATATTATGCATGTCTAGAAAACTTTCCAAAAATATTCCTTTTTTTTTGGATGAATTCCAAAAATATTCCGTAATTATATAGTATGTTGTTACGAAGTTTTTGTTAGATTCAATTCCCATCGCATGTCGTCATCGATTACATTCATGAATTTAATATAAGTTACAATAAAAGTTACAATTTATTCATGAATTCAATTCCATGCTGTATATATTATGCATGTCTAGAAAATTTTCCTTAATTATATAGTATGTTGTTACGAATTTAATCTAAATTCATTAATTATAACAGTTTGACTTTAACGTTTGACAACGCGCAACTTTGACCGTAATTATATTTATTTACGTATTAGTAAACATTAAAAAAGTTAATATATTGGAAATTTACATCAATACAAATTTATTAATATTTTATACATAATATTTTTATTATATATATTATTAGAAAATCCTAGTCAAAGTAAGATGTGTGAATAATGCAGAAACTCCAATGTTGCAACTTTTATGGAATGAAGGAACTATATAGAATATATAGAATATATATAGTACACTGTTTGGCACGTTTAACCCTGTTTGGTGTAGATTTGTTTGCCAAATAAGGCGAATAAGGAAGTGTAAAGTTTAATATGAGACGGTCCAAAAAGGAAAGTGTCCAAAAAGGAAAGTGTAAAGTTAATTAAGGATCGGGGCTATAACTTATAAATTTTATATTTTTATGAAAATATCTTGAATAAGGAACATTTTGATGTAATTTTTATATTCAAAATAATTTCATGAAATAATATTGATCAATGTTAGCCTGGAAAATTAAGTTCAAATCTGTCATAAACAATATGTAATTGAGTTATGCATTGCGTACGGCTTGGGGTGAAATTTTTAGTGGTTTGACAATTCATTCATTAATTGATTTAGTGACATGTCACACCATTTTTCAATACTGATCGAAAGCTTAGAACTTAGAATTGGAGATGGATGTTTTGGGAAATCATAAATGTATGTGAAGGAACAGAAAACCAACCCTGAAAAACGTACAGGAAACCAAATCAACCTAGCCCCCATATATAATAAGAGAAGCACCTATTGTCCTTGTTGACCTCAAAACCCTGGGAAGAGTATTTGAGACGGATGCATCTCACCTTAAGAAGGCGGTACATTGACTTTCCATCCAACCTTGCCATTAACTTCACATCTAAGCGCGTGAATCCGGAGTTGAGACTCGCGTCTTGTGCATGGAGACCGAAGGTGAACAGATTGTCGGAGCTCTTGGGAGGCAGCGGGGATGGGACGGGCAATGCGGTGGACGACGCAACCACCGCCTTATCGAAATAGAGTGTCATTTCTTCCGTGGAGTTAGTGAAGTCCACGGTGTTGTTTTTGTTGGAGTTGAGGGCTGAGAGGGTGAAGCTGAAGTCGGTGGTGCGGCGGTCGTCTGTATAAGCGATGTTTGCCATGGTCGCATTGACGACGTGGTAATCCGGTTTCACCGGGGCGGAGGACGACGACGACTCCCTGATTATGGCCCAAATGATAATCCCAATAAGGACACCAACCGCCAACCGGAAGAAGAAGTGAAGAACAAGCATCACCATGGCGCAAATAAAGCCCACACCTCCGCGTTTCAGAGCCATTAATTATGCAATCAAATCAAGCAAAGTTTAAATCATCTAATAAAATCAAATATTGATGTTTTTATATATATCACGCGAGGTTTGTTGGAATATTAGAGGTATAAATATTTTAGGACGTTATGAAGATAATTGTGTAAGTAGAAAAAGCTTTTAGCTAACTAGAAGAGAGGATGGAAGAAGAGAGAACTTGTATTTTATTGCTTGAAGATTTCTTAGCTTGATGCTTGATTACAAATGAGCACAACTACACCTATTTATACTACTCACATCCACAATAAAAGGTGGAGAGTTCTCTCTTATGTAGAATACTCTATTATTGATTATTCTCTCGAAGTCTCACACTCTAGAAACTTTCTAGAACATTTCTCTCTAGAACACTCCTAATTATTACCACAAACATCAATTATTAACTTAGCCCAAAATCAAGTTTACATTCTAACATTCCCCTTAAACTTGATTTCCAACTCTGAGCATTCTTCTCAATCGCTTGAAGTCTTCATGCTTGAGAGGTTTTGTATGAATATCCGCAACTTGATCTTGCGGCCTCACATACTTCACTTAGACCTCCTTATTCTCGACAAATTCTCGAATAAAATGGTAGCGAGTATCAATATGTTTAGTTCGGTCATGATAGACGAGATTTTTTGCAAGTGCAATGGCCGACTTGTTATCAACATAAATCTCGGTTGCATCTTCTTGCGGCATGTGAATTTCCTTCAATAATCTTCGAAGCCAAATGATGTGACATACACATGACGTAGCGGCAACATATTCAGCTTCACAAGTCGAAAGTGTCACAATGGGTTGCTTCTTTGAAGACCATGTGAAAGGCATATCCCCCATGTAAAGTACAAACCCGGTTGTACTCTTACGGTCATCAATATCTCTGCCCCAATCGCTATCACTATGACCAAACAACTTATATTCTTTAGAAGATAAGTAAGTCAATCCAAAGCTAATCGTACCTTTTAGGTAGCGTAGAATCCTTTTGGCGGCCTTCATATGGATAGATGTTGGAGCTTCCATATAGCGGCTAATAAGTCCCACTCCAAAAAGAATATCGGGCCTCGTACATGTTAAGTAGCGCAAGCTTCCAACCAAACTTTTGAACATAGTCGGATCTACTTTATCTCCTTCATCAAACTTGGAGAATTTTGTCCCATAATCGACTGGTGTGTCAATCGGCTTGCACCCATCCATCTTAAATTTCTTAAGAATTTTTCTTGCATAACCTTCTTGGGAAATAGATATTCCTCTATCACTTTGATTGACTTCAATTCCGAGGTAGTATGACATAAGTCCCATATCCGTCATCTCAAATTCACGATTCATTTCTTTCTTGAAAGCATCAAACATACTTGGATTGTTACCCCTGAATATCAAATCATCCACATATAAGCACACAATCAAAAGATCCCCATCTTCATTTGTTTTTACATAAAGGGCATATTCATAAGGGCACTTTAGAAACCCATTTTCTTGGAAGTACTTGTCTATTCTAGTATTCCAAGCTCTTGGGGCTTGTTTTAATCCATAAAGTGCCTTCTTTAATTTTAACACTTTATTTTCTTGCCCTTTAATTATATAACCTGGGGGTTGTTCCAAATAGACTTCTTCTTCCAAATAACCATTTAAGAAAGCCGATTTTACGTCCATTTGGTACAATCTCCAATTATTTTGAGCCACAATTGAAATGAGTAATCTTATAGTTTCTAAGCGGACAACGGGAGCAAATACCTCGTCATAGTCAATACCGGCCCTTTGCTTGTACCCTTTCGCCACCAACCTTGCCTTGTATCTTTCAATTTCTCCTTTGGCATTTTTCTTTGCTTTGTATACCCATTTAGTGCTGATAGCCTTGTGCCCCTTTGGTAGCGTAGCTCACTCCCAAGTATCATTCTTCATGATTGACTTCATCTCCTCGTCCATAGCATTTTTCCACTTCTTGTCTTCTAGCGCCTCTTGAACACCTATTGGTTCACAATCATTAAGAAGACAAACAAGAGTTATTTCATCCAATTTTTGTGTTACCTCATATATCTCTTGTAAGCTTCTATAACGGGGAGTTCTTTCATTTGAGCCTTCATCGTTGGTTGGTGGACTTCCTTGGATGGATGGTGAATGAGGTGGAGTGTTTGGTTCTTGAGCCGCTTGGTCATCATGGTCCTCTTGTTCTTCATTTTCTTCAAAGAGCGGGAAGAAGTTGTAATTCTCATCTTCTTGAACACTCCAATCCCAAGAGGCTTCTTCATCAAATTGGACATCTCGGCTCACAATGATTTTCTTCGTGACTGGATTATATAGCTTATATCCCTTCGAGTGTTTATCGTATCCAATAAACACAAACTTCTCACTTTTATCATCAAGCTTTGAGCGTTTTTCATCTGGCACATGAGCATATGCTATACTTCCAAAAACTCGAAGGTGAGAAACATTTGGTTTCTTCTTCCACCATGCTTCTTGAGGTGTCTTGTTGTCAAGACTTTTAGTTGGACAACGATTTAAAATATACACAGCACAATCAACCGCTTCGGCCCAAAATTCTTTTGGCATATTCTTGCTTTTTAGCATGCTTCTAGCCATCTCAAGAATAGTTCTATTTTTTCTTTCAACCACGCCATTTTGTTGTGGTGAGTATGGAACCGTTAAAGGACGGCGAATCCCATTATTTTCACAAAATTCATTAAAATCATTTGATGTAAATTCACCTCCTCTATCGGATCTCATGGCTTGTATTTCATGCCGAACTTCCTTTTCTACAAGGGCCTTAAATTTTTTAAATGACCCAAAGACTTCCGAATTTTCTTTTAGAAAATAGACCCAAGTTTTTCTAGAATAATCATCAATGAAAAGAAGAAAATAATTATTCTTTCCATATGAACTTGGTTTAATGGGTCCACAAACATCGGCTTGAATTAATTCCAAGGGCCTTTTAGCTCTAAAATTTGATTCTTTTGGAAAACCTTTTCTTGCATGTTTTCCTAAAAGACACCCCTCACACAATTGATTTGGATGATTTATCATTGGCATCCCTTCAACCATTTTGGTTCTTGATAATAAATTTAAGCCACCAAAGTTCATGTGCCCAAACCTCAAGTGCCATAACCAAGAATCATCTTTTAAACATGAATGTAAGCATTTTGCTTCATCATTTTGAATCTCCAATAAAAACATTCTATTTTTCGTCATTGGCATTGTGGTTATTAATCTTCCTTCACTTCTTAGAAAAAGATTATTATCTTTTAGATTGATGTCATAACCTTTTTCTAGAAGTTGCCTCAAACTCAAAATATTATTTTTGAGTTTGGGCACATAATAAACATCGGAAATGAATTGGTGGCTACCATCCTTTAGACGGATTAAGATGTTACCTCTTCCTTCAACCGATACCTTTGACTCATCTCCAAATGTGACTTTTCCGTTGGCTTGCTTAATTTCCGCGAACATGGTTTTGTCACCGGTCATGTGGTTGCTAGCCCCGGTATCTAACACCCACATACTCTTTCT